GATCACTGGTCAAGATTCTTACCACGCTTACTCACTAGATGTATCAGTATTGCCTTGCGTGAGGAAAGAAAAGGATCTAGGGGTTATTATCAACCATACATCCAAAGTAACAACACACTGTAATGTAGCAGCAGCCAAAGCATTCTATATACCATGGTTTTCCTAAAAGGATGTTAAGCGTTTCGATGAATAAATATTTAGGATACTATTTACTGCTTTAGTGAGATCACTTTCAGCAGTGGATATATGCAGGCAGTCCTCGCTTCAAGAAAGAAGAAGACACCTTAGAACACTCGAGAAGGATGGGTACTAAGTTAGTGATGGAACTTCCTCATCTCTCTTATAGATGCTGGTTGGAGAGTTTAAGTCTTATTGCACTACACATCGTAAGAAAAAGGGTGGTCATATATATTAACGTATTATATCTTGGATAACGACTTATGTATCAATCTTGCTAATCGTTTTACTCCTTAAGGATTAACTTAGTCAAAGTTAAGTCGGTGATAAGGCTAAAAAACTAAAAGTGGTTCTTCGGCGGCTCAATCTCTGCAGTGATGAATTTAAGGTCTGTATGATTCTGAAACAGTAGCCTGTACACCAAAAACTTGTTTTTGAATGTGAGTGAAAAATTTTGATGGAATCCTTGAAGTGTTGGTATCACAGCTAACTCCGTTATGTTTGCAACTACAGAAGAGGTTTAATTCATGCAGGTCATATTTCAAGTATTTTACAACAATCTGAAGTTATGAAAATGATACGGAGATATCTGATGCAGCGTTGAGTAGCTTACTTAACCAACAGTGTTTGGTAATGAGTCTCTTCAGTTCATCAAGAGAATAACATTCAGACTACTTGCGATAGAGTTCAGAGAGCAATGGCATAGACTTGTTAAGTAGACGTAAAATGAACTAATGTCCTGGACACATAGACGAACCCCATTCTAACGATTAACCTTCAGTTATTTTGCCTAAGCACGCCTGCTTTCATAAAACTGATATTTGTTACTATATATCCTGCTTCCTGCCTGCCAAGTTCGACTCTGCTAAAACCATGTTTGTCGAGCTAGCACTTTCGTTCTAAGGAACTCGGTGTTTTACTGGTTACTATATCCTGAGTCACACAGCTTTCATTCCGATTGTTACAATGACTTGCGTTATAAATTTCATTTCTTCGCCCTATATCCTTCATCACTCACGTTCTTTTCAATCAGCTGGATAATTTGGTATCTCACTCATCACAAATGGTCTCTGAAACAATGTTCGTTACAAGCTGACAGTAGCGACGAAATGTTGATGTTACGAATCAGCACGCTTATAAATAAAAAGGTTGCGAAGAGTAACGCCACCCTCGCTAATAATTCCTAAAGTCGACTTCATTCCGTGATTCCTGTATACCTCTTTATCATGATTTGTCTCTTATCGATGTTGATTTGTCACCCGTCTACCCCTCTCCATCCGTGGTTTTTTATTAACGATTACTATTACAAATAATTATTGCAATATTTATTACCTGTCACTACTCGATTATGCTATGCCACGACTAGTTTCGTGAAATCATGCAAGAACTTAGTCAGAAAGATTCATTTATCAGGGGATTTAAGTCACTTTCGCAGGAAAATAATAGTTTGTAATACTTAAAATTATAAAACAATGAGTATAGGAGGATGACATTGAAGACCGACAGTCAGTCATCTTGGGTAGTATTTCATGGACTCGATTTTTCTTGAAGATGGGAATAAAAGTTACCTTTTCTTAGTTAAACAACAACACAAAAATGTATGACATCCAATCTCCGAGACTTAAAGCAGTTTTCTAGCTAGTACTCTGCCTGATACATTCATCTCTCAAGAGGTGGAAATAACCCTATAGTAAGGTCAAGTATGGTTTCCCCTTGTCTTTTATGGGATTCTCACCATGCGCGTTTACTAACGACCATGACTGCATTACAATAATTAAAAATCACTACTAACCTCATTAATCAGCCTAGAAATAAATGGAAACTTGTTAGTCTGGCTTCGAAGAACTGACATGCGACGACTACTGCTAGTAGTTCATGGCTATATTAATGATTGTCTCATGGAGCAGCTTGACTTTCTTTGCAATCTACGAAAACTTTTTTGAAAGCAATCCAAAGATATATTTTTTTTGGTCATTAGGAGAAAAAAGAAGTTACTTAACTGTGTACTACGCAACCAACCACACCTATTGCTTAAAGGTCTACGAAGTGATCCAGTTGCCCACGTAACAGTGAGAGATGTTAGGGTGTTGTTAACTGTACTCGAAAACAGGCACAGAAATACCACTGATGAGGGTACTGTCATAGGTTGAAAGCGTTTCATAATCCCTCCAAGGAATTATGGACCGAAACCCTTTTCAATAGTTTTGTTCTTTATTTCAGTGAACTTTTGCTGTTCATGATAGCACTTTAGTTCTTTTATTCATCTATAACCCTCCTACTCATCACTTTTGTATCGCACTTATATATTTTCAAAGCTTGAAGGAAGTTAATTACTGTAAATGAGATCTTGAGTCTATATCTCAGTTAAACACAGCACTTCCAATTGATTATGATTTCTAACCTTTCTGATCATACATAGACGATATGCATTTTTGTGATGGCAGAAATGCGAATAGTCGGATAATAATTTAACCGTTCAACAGGTTGCTGCGCACTTATATATTTCAAGAATAAAGTGTTATTATTATCAGCATCATCAACACGACAGACAGACCGACAAATAATCTCGCTAAGGTACATCAGTCCTATTAATATAGGTGTAAAACTTGGGCACTGTGATAGAAATTAATTCCAGTTTTCACAATTCATAGCAGCAGGCCAAGAAGTGGGTGGGAAATGAGTTATGTTACGACGGGCAAAACTGTACTGGGAGAAAATAAATAGATGGCTTTCAACAAGAATACTTAAGATTTCCAAGAGTGCATACACCTCCTTCATGTACCGTTGCTAAGCCTACCTGCCCGAACTAATGCTGCCTTGATTCCAGGGTGGTATTCATCACGAACTGTGTTTGGATGATGGTTGAGGAAAATTTTGAATTGACAGAAGTTAGGAAATGTGGACCATCGGATTCCGAACCGGTGTCTCAAACGTGCGTACTGCTGAGGAGTCCTATACTGGCAAGAAAGAGGTGTCCAGTCTTCAGCGTTTCTCCAACTGATATCCATTTAGGAAATAATTACGCTCAGATAAACATTGAGAGTCGAGGTGGTCTGCTACGCACACTGTAGGTTCAAGCAACATCGGTCAGAAAACTTTTACAACCGGAAAATAAAAAGACGCACTTAGCCATCTTATGCACACCCGTGCAGTAAGCAATGAGTCATACCTATCGTATGAGGGCTGGTGATACTTTCTGGTTGCCTAAATCTAGGTAGGTGGAGCGGGGCTCGAATCCGTGACTCAATTCTCACAATCTCATCTATTGACATGCTTACTACACCGAGTACTCTGCACCTAACTTAAACACTAATCACATGGTGATTAAACCGCACGTAGACTACGTTACGTACACACAAATATGATTAAAACGTGTATCCTTTCCTTACCTCCCGCTTTCAAAAACTACGTATCACAGCTGTGCAACACAACATCAAGCAGAATACTTCCATCTTCATATGCAATCAGATATCTTGCAACTACAAATGAAGCGTGAATTGGTGAATGCCAAACAATCCTTCTAAATTCAAGCAGAAACTTCATCACCAATCAACCAATTTCCAATGATACAACTTCACAAATAAGTGGGGTGTTCAACAATTTCGTCCAGCTCACTTCCTATCCTTAGAGTCGGTGCAGATCACTCCTGAAGTACCATTTAACGTTTCACATGTGCCAGTCAAACGTGCTGAGATTCCCACTCAGAGGACTTTGTATTTTGTCACTGTTTTCGGCTAACAGAACTATGTTGTCTGTGTACCAGAAGTCAACCCGTGTGTTAAGACAAAGGTATTTTGTGACGTGCTGGTGTTTGCTTAGACTCTATAATCTGTTTATCGGTGATCTGACTGAGGTAAACTGGTTTATGAGTGAAAATGGCCTTGTCCCTTCGAGTTTATTGTTGTCGAGCTACATTTGGTGTCGGACGACCATGAACTTTAATATAATGAAAACGACTTCAGTTAAATTATTTCTTATTGTTTAATTGACTTCTTTTCCTCTCTACATACTGAGGTGATCATTTTCCCCGATTCATGTTGCAGTACTGTTTATTTCAGTGAGCTATGAATAAATTGTTCACCTTACTTATAATTTGTTACCTCTATTCTAGAAAATGTCTAGTACAAGGTGTTTGGTTCAGCTTCTCCGAAACTGGTCATAATCGACACACCCTTGTCAGCCTCAGGGAGACTTGAAGGACCGAGACTTACAAGTCATCAACTTGTGTGTTCAATGTACAGCGCCTGATGATTCGCTGAGTGCTTTCAGAACTGATAATGAACTCACTGATATGTCTTTATATTCAACTTCTGGAACATAAGGTCGATTCCGACTTCGGTATACAGCACTTGTGGACGCAACATTCTGTCGAGTTACAAAAAGTTTTAGGTGAGATCTAAAGTTGTATGATATCGTTTCCCACCCCTTGATTCAGACTGTATCATCTGAAACCACGTGTCCCACCTAGCTGAATCCCTTACATCCTCAACACCCCCACTTTTATCTACTGGTATGCTCTTTCATAAATATTAAAACGTTTTAATACGAAGAAGATAGCTATTTTTATTCTTAGTCTTACATATTTCTTAGTAATGTAAAACTTGTTTAACTGAATAAAACTTTGGCAGAGTCAAAACTCATTCAGATATGAAAGTAAAGTAACTATTTTAGAGAAGAATATGCAATAAACCCACACACAGTAGACAGGAAACTCAAGGAACCGGAAAAATGGGCGGATTAAAAAAAATAGACAATTTATCAAAATTTTTAAAGAAATAAAGACTTTATACAGATGACTTCCGGATGGAATTGAAATATATCAACTATTTAGCTCTTTGCATTTGCCGCAACCTATATAAGTCCATAGGTACATTACAGTTAAGGCCAGCAGCTGAAAGAGTAGGTCGTAACTCCGATCCAGAGCCTAAAATCTGACCACCTAATAAAGCAGCTGCCCGTTCATCTTCATCATCATCGTCATTATCCCCTTCATTAACATCTCCTTCATCCTCCGAATCTCCAAAGGCATTCAAGTTTGTGCGTTTAAGCAATTTCGCTTGATTGGCTGCAGAACCACGTATACCAGGATTAGATAAATTCTCCATGGCTAATTGTTGGCGGCGTTTGCGAGCAGCTAAAAGCAGAGGAGTGGCTGAAGTTGCAGTGCTAGCCAGTTCAATAGATAGGGCTGTACCAGAATCAATGGTTGTAGTCAATTCTTCTGATTCACCAGCAACAACTTCCATATAATCTAAAGTATATAAAATCAGTTCAGTGGTTTACGAGTTGAACTTCATATGCATAAAAATATACAACCGATAAAATACTTCATGAAAACTTCTAATTGAAATGATAGTATACAGAAAAATTAGGATGCTCTCTACTAACTGGCAAATAATTACTTACGAATAGGCGTCACCTAGTCTCACGATCCCTCCTACTCCTTCAAAACAGGTCCGTTATCTAATGATGGAAATTGAAGTGATTGAATGTGTCGATCAATTTCAATAACTTAGGGAGTTGCCTCAGCTCTAAAGGGGCTGGTTACTGACGACTTCTCAGGTCGGATACAGAAAGCCCGCTGGCATTAGCTAACTTCCACCGCCTGTGGCGTTGATTGGCGAGATATCCGACTATCTATCAAAGGACGAGTATTTTGTCCAGCGGTTCGTTCTATCCTTTCGCACAGCTGCACATGGCCGTTAAAAGTAGAAGATATGAAGCAGCTGCAGGGTTTTGATCATAGATGTCTTCATAACATTGCTCGCATCAGCATTGTTGAGGTCAAGCGAAAGATACTAAGCAAGACAGACAAGTCGATTGATGAAGTTGTAAACCTTAGTCGACTGAAATGCCTGGAACATGTACTATCAATGCTGAGCTACCACCTACCTCGACGTGTCATGCTAAGGGAGGTTAGATAAGTTGTAAAAGGGTTCAGGATAAACAGAAGAAGACGTGACACCAGTCGACAGAGTCTCTAACTGTTGGTATGATTCGTGTGGAGAGATGCACTGACTGGTTGGGGTCCTGGAAACGAAAAGAATGAGTGGTTAAGGACACTGTGACATGGTTGAAAACCGGTCACAATGGTGAAGATGTATTCACTCTCTGACGTCCTCTAAGGCTTGAATATTTGCACTAACCTAAATCTTCAGGTTGTTTATCCTCTCAAACTGCTTTATCTCCTTTGATATCACTTCTTTTCTATCTATCTGTTCTTTGTGTACTACTGTGAAGTGTGGCAACTTGAGCCGATGCACTTGTGTGTGAGGTTCTACGTTGAATTTGCCAATCAGTTAGTCACCACCACATTCAGATTCTTGCACTAGGTGGTAATCCATACCTTTTACATGATGGCTGATAATATTATTCGATCGTCAGAGCCAGTGTAGATGCAGCAGAGTTTTAACTTATGAATACTACAATGGATGCATAAACCTTCAACCAATCGCTTGAAGGTTTACTGCACTCTCTGTACCTGTAATCCTATTTCCAAGTACAAGAAGTATCCAGATAAAGAGTTTACTTTTGGCAAGAATATTAATATGACGACAAGATAGGACTATCAGTTCACGTTACGCACAGTACGACAGTGAAAATCAATGATTGAAGAATTGCTTGGCAGATAGTCACATCGCTGTCTACTCTACATATATTCAACAGTTTAGTCTAAAACTGCTTATCCATCGACAATTTATTTTTCTAGCTCATATAAATGTTCTACCTTTCTTGTAAGTTACCTCTCTTTACTATGTAATTTTAATTGAACGGTGGTTTGCAAGTGAATCAAGAACACATGTTTCATTCTATCTAGAAATGAATGTAGCTGCATCTAAAACAAATCACATCGTAATGAATTTTCAGACAGTATCAAAGCATCTGCAAAGATCTTATATGCTGTCAAAGGCTAATCGATCCAGCCGAGCCCAGCATAACAATTACAATTATCAATTATTAATTCCATTCTTCACTTTACTGTAAACAGTGGTGCTTCCTAAAGATGGATAAAAGACTAAATTAGAGACAATAAAAGCAATTTAGGCAAGTAGAATAAAACTATCACTAAGCCATAAACTAACATAAATGTTTTTTCTGTATTACAAGGAATAACAGAACAACAAGAAGGAACCACAGTTGAATAAGGATGGATCTACACCACTTTCAGTTATTCCACCATGAAAAGAAAAAGGTGAGCTATAATCCGAACAGCCGGGGAATTTTTCCATAATACTTTTAATTGTCACCACTCAGTGGAAATTCTCTGCACCTTATGCAATTACCGATTCAGACGTATATACACACATGATAAGTTTATTGACGGATTAACATTTACTGAGTTATATACAGCAATTGTTACTCAATCGCTTTGCTTGAGCTAACAGCTATGAAACAGATTTGAAAAAGTGGGGGGGGGGCAATGCACTTAACAGCCCTGCATATATTCGTTCAATAGGCAATGAGACACACCTATTGTGTAAGGGCTACCTAGCTACCCAAAACTCGACAGGCGGAGCGGGGCTCGAAACCGGAACTCAATGGTTGAAAGTCAACTGTCTAAACCAACGGGCCACAGTTCCACAAGGAAAAAGTGCAGGATAAAATGAGAAAACGAGACATAATACCTATAAGTAACTGTTCGCTAGAATCTCACATCATTATATTCGGGTTAACAAGAAGAATTCTTTCATTCATTTCTGACATTGTTAGAAACAAAAAAATTTGTGTCAAACTTCTTAGATAGGCGAAGAAACCATCTTTGTACTACAAAGTTCCAGTATATTTTCACTAAGTAAATTTGAGAAAAATACGACAAGGATAAAAATATGGAAATACTGGGGAAATTAAGTAGAATATACGCGAATTCACTAACCATCGGGAATTTCCAATTCCAGGAAATGCTCTAAGAATCTATCAACATCAACAAATGGACCGTGAAAACATTGTGGGGGTGGAGCAGTTTCAGTAAAGATGAAGCAGCTGGTGGTGGCGGGAACTCGCCGCCAGCTACAGGATGACTTCCTGTGCGTGGATATGCTTTTGGCTTGAATGGTAACATTTGGCTAACATCAGGCTGTGGATAAGTCGGTTTTTGATCAGTTCCAGTTATTACTGATATAAAAGGATCACTCACTCCACCAACACCGCCAGTGACACCGGAAAGGGTGGAACCTAGTGAGACACCAGCAGCACTATGAGAAGATATTACACCGCATAAAACATCATCATATCCTTTGCCTATTCCAGCTAGTTGGAAACGAGCTAACTCCTGTAAAGAAAAAACAATAAAGCTTTTCGGCAACAACAAAGTTTTAAGCAAAAATTCACTACAAACGCATAAGGAAACCACTGACTAATCATAAAGAGAAAATAATACTCTTTTAGCCTAACAGGAGATAGTAAGAATGGAAACATTGTTCGTATACACAAAACAAAAACTTACTCGATATCCTAAGGATCTAAGTTCCGAATCAGAGCATGGCAGCAAGTCCAGGAATCTATATCGATCAATTAACAGAGCAGTTTCCAATCTTGAGAATTCTTTTGAGCTGTCAAGCGCTTGCAAACGACGCTTTTCTACCTTCAAATACTCGCCAAGTCACCAACCTAGGGGAGGGATGAAATAATGAGAACTACCTTACGACGTAGAATAAAGAGCAAGTCTTTTTGTGTTACATGTAATAAAATGTATTTTAGTATAGTAGTCTCGCACTGATTGACGTATGGACTTTGCAATCAGTGTATCATGGGTTTGGATCGAGATTCAGGTAGTTGGATAGCATCATTGTTAACCCCGCTGTGTGTGCGACTAATGACCTAATAACCAAAATTGTATAAAACTGCTTAATTACAAAACTAGTGTAATAGACGACACAGACTGAGATGCAGGAAGGAATGTTTATAATGACATCTCGTACAGTACTGATCAAATTTTGTACAGTTTACATTAAAATAGTTATTTGTACAGTGTTTCATTTTCTATTCTTCTCCTACCTCGGTTTTCTCTTCATATGCCCACAGTGTCTCTTGCATTTCTCTGGGCAGAATACCTCCCATCGCTGGTAATTCCCTATGACTCATGCCGACCTCTTCACATATACTACTTATATCCACCCACTACATCCTCATAGTGTACAGTTACAAGCGAAATACTAATAACTTCCATAATCATTTGTTGTATCTATACACTTACAGTACAAAGGATCATAGTGAATTTAGTTATAAAAAGTAGGAAGTTAAGTAGTGTGTTAATATGAACTCTGTCAAAAAGACTGAGATGATGACCTCATTGACGTTGTTCGTTGACATAGTGATTATTACAGGGTTACACAAGTATGTTAATGGCACTGTTTGGTTAAACGTTGTATATAAATATATAAATACAAGGTGATTTTGTACAAGTAATGAATTCCTATACAAAGGTGCGAAGATCTCTAACTTGAGTGTTAGGAGTGTATGTCACACTGAAACAAATAAAGCGAGAATCAAAAACTACATTGTGTCCTTACTTTGAACAGACAATTTTATTCTACCCTGCATGATTAATTTTATACAACGCACTTCAGTTCTGGAACTGAAATATAGGTTAAAATTCGGGTGGCGAGTATATAAAAGGCAAAATAGTTTATCTACAAACTAAGTGACTGATTACATTGCTGTATGATTTAACTTTGATCAGTAACCGATACTTCAAAAAGTGACACATCCGTCAGACGAACACTTCATATTAAAACTGATAAGACAGAAATGATTTCATTCAATTAGCTGTAATTTGTAATATGCGAATAGGGGGGGGGGTAGGGTAGGGTAGGGTAGGGTAGGGGTAGTAGGGTATAATTCCGCTATAGTTTTTTTCCAGAGCAACTTTCTAACAGTTACCCATGCAACAACTAATTTAGCCAATTAATTTCCTTTATTTCGGCTGGGATGGTATTTTTTCATAAATTGAAATAGCCTTACTAGTTATTTGACAAGTCGCAAAGGTGAGCATTAGAGTGACTCTCTTTTCATGTGTCCTATAGTGAAACAGTATTTGCTGATGACGTTTTGATCAGGATTTACCTCTCTTGGTCATATTGAGGTAGTCAAGCAACTTTATGCTTTCGTTTTTACAGTTCTATTGTTTCCCAGTCCTCGATTTAACCCGGAATATCGGTATTGTGTCGTTGGTATTTAATGTGTTGAGTGTCGGTTCGATAAACAAAGCTTCAGTCATCAATCTTTTTCTCTTCCTCTCCACCTACCCAAGTTCAAACTCTTAAAATTATCACTCAATCCCATCCTATTTCATGTGGTAGCGTGTATGGCTGTGATCGCTCTCTTTTCTCGGTTTCTTATCCTATAAGGGTCTAGCATTCATGGAATTCGGTAAACAAAATTCCATTTAATAGGCTTGATGGGTTCCTTCGGCTGATAAAGCTTACCTCTAAGTTAGTTAATTTGTTCCAATATCACTTTAATTCTGGCCTTATTGAGAATTCTATGTAGGGCTTTTGATGCCCGTCTTTTTATGTGACAAAATTACGGTAGTTTTAAAATCCTCCGTGGTTTAATTATTAACACTCTATTAATTGTAGTCATACTACGCCTAAACTCTACGTATCGAATACGCTATGAAGGGCTTTTCGTAATAACTAGTATGTAAACTTCTGTTTTGCTTTCGTTTGATTTTGCAGTCCTACACATCTAGTTCTCCTTTGTCACTTCCAGTTCACACATGAATCGGATTGCATCAAATATTAGGTTTACTTGTGTCGACATATTTTGATTTTAACACTGGAAATGTGGAATAACTGTAAAGGCTACCTTAGCAACTGTTGAAATAACCAATTAGGTTTAGTTATATGAAGAAAAAACTCTTTCCAATCAAAATTTTAAAAAAAACCTATTTGGTTATTTCGGTAGTAGCTAGGAAAGCTTTTAGAGTCACTCATAAATGTGTCGATCACATATTTCCACCAAACTTTGGGAGTAGGGTAATGCGTTTCCAACTCTTCATAAATTAGGGTACAGTAGAACACAAAAACCTAGCTAAATATAGAATGCTAGATCCTAATAAGAGAAGAAATCTAGAAAAGAACTCGGTCACAGCTATGAATGCTACCGCATGAAATAGGATGGGATTGAATGATAATTTTAAGCGTATGAACTTGGGTAGATGGAGAGAAACAGAGAGATTGATGACTGAAGCTTTGTTTACCGAATCGATATTCAACACGTTAAATACAAATGACACAACACCGACATTCCGGGTTAAGTCGAGGACTGGGAAACAGATAGATAAATCCTGCTCAAAATGCCATCAGCAACTACAATCTGGACAATAACATTGTATCATTAAATCTTATGTAATACACTGTTTGCCTAGCAGTACAAATACGGCAGTTTTAGTACGACTAGTCAGTCAACTTTTCTTAACACCATTCGAATTTATCAATTTTTTTTGAATCAGTCTACTGATGCACCCATGTTCACAATGCCTATATGTCCTATGCGAATAATAATAATAATAATTGAATTGTCTTGTAAAGACACACTACGTGGAGATAAACAAAACGTGTACTTCAAAAACTAACTAAACAGATGAACTAAATGAGACCAACGATATGCCACCTAACACTTCTATTCAAGAGTAAAAACCACATCTGTCGTGTGAGCGCTAACAATATTAACTAAGTGACTACACCGAGGACGGTGGATAGGTATGTATGAGTGTAACGACAAGACACCTCAATAAATAATATTCCCAAAGTGAACACTTTTTTTACATATCATGTGCAGAAAGATAAAAGAAATCATTCAGTGTTAACACACAAGAAAGAATTAAGAAATTTGTTTACCTGCGATTCAAATTGCAAAAATCTTGCCCATATAAGACGTGCACGCTCTTGAGTTATTTGATTCGAACCTAAGGCACGTTCGAATAGGACACGAATATTATTATCTTCATTTAAATGAGCCATAAAATCAACATAGCATAACACATATTCAGCAATACCACCAAAACGTTTCATGCCTAATTCGAATATTTTATGACCAATTGTTTTATCCTATTCGAGAAAAATAAAGACGACGAACGTTTTCAGATAATCAATAAGATTAGAGAATAGTTCCGAAAAACTATTACTAAGTTATCTGTGAAAATGACACTCAAAACAAAAAACTAAATATTAGGGAAGCAACATAAAGTGATAAAAAGATTTCACTTGATAGTATTCAATACATTGTATTGATGATAGCCTACTTACTGGTACCAAAATGCTCACCAGTACTAGTTGAAGCTGCAAATATTCATTAACATATTGGGACCCTTAGTACACAGCCTTTGTCTTAATGTATGCAGTGCAATCATTATCCAGCCTGGATTTACCCTTTGTTCCATTAAGCACTTAATATTGGAGAAAACTTGAAATTTAGAGTTAACAAAGATTCTCTACAATCTCTCAAATTCAATTTCAAAGAAAACAGTGCAAATTCTAATTCAGTCTGCAACTTATTGTGGTATTTTCAACTGAAAAGTGAGTAAAATACTCTACTGAACCATAAAAAAACATTTTACAGATTACATTTACATATTAATTTGACCATTCCCCGAGTTATTCAACTATGTATCAAATAACGTGTAAACAAAGTGTGAAATTTACAAAACTTCATCGTCACCTGTATAACTGTATTTAGAATAAGCAACTGTGCTAGCCACAACCAAGTAAATTAGCATGATAACTATTCAGGCAATATCGAGGCATCTGTATAGGAGCCCATATGCCAATAGACGTCGAACAATTCCATCCAGTATAACAACGGAGAATTACAAGTATATCAATAAATAGTAAAAAATAATACCCATTGTACAAGAGGTGGCTATCGTGCTTCAGTGGCCTAGTGAATAACGCTTTGCGGTTTGAAGCGATGGGTACGAGGTTTGAGTCTGTGGGGTGCAGGTACGTTCAACTGACGAGTCCCGAGTGGGACGAAACGCATATCATGGATTCCTCTGCTAGCTACAACCAATTAAGTTATCGTAACTCAGTAAATGGATCATGAAAAACTGGGAATACGAAGTTTTCATAGCTAGTCATATGTTTCGGACTTATGTTTGCAGTGTACACATCCATCAGTTAACAGATGAATGTATGTTAAATATACACAATAAAAGTGACTAAACATTATATACCACCGACCGTTTAGCTATTCAAATACAAAAGTATTTTGTAATAGTGATCAAAGAATTGCATTTGTAAATTATGATCAGCATCGTAAGGTTTGAACGAGCGATTCATACACCAATAGAGAGTAATCAATACGGAAACTTTAAGTTGCAATCAACAATTATTATGAACTTCAATATTCAAAAAACTATAGGTAGGATAACCATGGATTAGCAGATTATTCGAAAGTAATGAGATGATAATTAAACCTGAAGCGAAAATCCAGGTTAGGGTAGGATTCGAACCAGGTCTCCAAGTTACCGTTTGACACGCAATCGACTAATTCGCGTGCAGTGACTGGTTTTCGCTAAAAATTCAACTGCCGGTCAACTACTTATTTTAAAATTTCACAAAATTCTAGGAGAACCAACTTCTAGACAAGAGGAAATTACTAATAAATTAAACCTGAAACTTACTGACTCTTAAGGTAACTACAACTCTTTATGTATCCCAATACACTGAGAATTCTGCAGATGTCATTAGTTTCATTATGCAAGGTAAGGTTATTTTCTTTACAACATGGAACGTAAGATTCATGAGTAAAAACCAGAATTAAGTCAAAAGTAACCACTACAACTTTTTATGCGTACGATTAGTGAGTTAGTTTCTTCTATTCTTATTTACGCCACAGTTTCGCAAACGACGGTTTAAGGTAACAAAATGTCACACAATACACAGCACTAGAACTTAAATATCCATTGACTGGACAACCCTGAATTGTGGAGCATTGCCTTACTGGTTTAAGCAGGTGACTCACCCAATGCACCACGGGTTCGAACACCACTTCACCTACCGAAGTTTGGGCAGCCAGGTAGTACACTAGCCCTCAAACTAAATAGGTGTGGCGCATTGCCTACTGCACGACTGCTCACAAGGTTACTGAGTGCATTTCGATTCTATTCGACAACTGAATTATTTACCAACTACTTGAAAGTTCACAATAAAAATATTCTTAGCTGTTTATTGCTGAATGATATAATCAGTCAGAAATAACTCTTAACTGGTTACTGTTGGGATTTACTGCCAAAGCTTCGTCTACGAATGCCAAGAAATTACTTAACAGTTAAGAACTGTTACATCCCTAAATTGTGTGCAATTTTTCAATTTGATCCAGGTATCTTAAGTTTTCTGCAACTGTACAATTCAACCATTTGATATTTGTCTGCATACATGACTCTACAGCTCGCCAGCACAGAAACAGTATTTTGATCACTCTACCTGACTTCTGACAACTTGAAAATTATAGCTACACTTTGGTGGCACACTCTGCCTATTCATCCTTTTTGCAAGCCTGTAAGAAGTTGGTTTTCAATCAACAGGTCACAAGTTCGAACACGGCCCCACCTTCTGGAAGATTCGGGCAGCCAGGTGCTATCACAAGTCTTCACACAATAGGTGTGTCTCATTGCTTATTGCATAAATATGCACAAGGTAGCTGAGTGGATTTCGATTTTAGCAATTTTGTAGAGTGTGGTCAGTGTACTAGTAAACGGAAACGGACAATTTCAAGATCTTATAACGGATTGAACAACAACAATAATAGTACATTTTTTCGCTCGCACAAATTAAATATATCAAAAATATTGAGGATGATAATTCTTTGTAGTATTCACTTTTTGTCCGAAATTTCTGGAAACACCCATTTACAAGGTTTTCCTCGGTAGTTAGTAAAAATATCACCCATTTTGTAGAATCAAAAATTACTTACTCATTTCAAATTATACCAAAATAAAGTTCGATGAAGATCCTCTCGAAATTATAGAAATCTGTGATAGTGTAGACGTTCATCTGGCTGGGATATGAACATGGAAACAATGTTTTTTCATACGCATGAATTAAAGCTCATCAAAAAGTGATGATCAGAAGATTTCAAGAGAGGATCATTGTTTTCGGTTTGTCGGCAAGGGACACCGTGGAGACACCTAAGATACTGACATGGAAACAACCTGAACGGACACAGCTTCAACAGAACACTCATCATTTATAATGATATCGATTAACGTAAGTTCTATCTTCAGTAAGTGGAAATTTTAAACCAAATCCATTACATTTTGAACCTCGCCTGGTTAACTAGTTTACTAGTTACTAGCCGGTCCTAAGCCCGGGTAAAGAGGGAAGGTTGGGCATAGGGCTAGCAACCCTACCCCGTAAAACAAATCTAACCGCTAAAGAAACTTCAAAGCACAAACAAAATATAAAAAATGAAAACAAACTTATTCCCCGCTGGAATCGGAGAGGCGAAATGACGCCAGTTGGTGAAAGCCTTCGGGAAGCCAATTGGCCGATGTGTCTTCTCTCGATGAAAGCGAAAGTAAACGTGGGGACATGGAATGTCCGCACGATGTTTGAACCCAGTAAGGCAGCCCAGATTGCAAAGGAGATGAGAAGGTATAACATCGAAGTGCTTGGGATTTGCGAAAGCAGATGGAATGGGAGTGGACTCTCCAAACTGTCAACTGGAGAATCAATAATCTACTCCGATAGTCACCCAGACGCCAACCACGAGCACACTGAGGGAGTGGCTATCATGATGTCCTCAAGAGCATCGAAGGCTCTCATGCAGTGGGAACCAATCTCCTCCAGGATCATGACAGCAAGATTCAACTCAAAAGGAAGAAAGGTCACAATCATACAATGTTATGCACCTACAAATAATGCAGAGCAAGAGAAAAAGGAGGAATTCTACAGACAACTTCAATCAACACTGGACAAGACGTCAGTTGGCGATATCAAAATTCTAATGGGCGACATGAATGCCAAACTGGGAGGGGACAACACAGGAAGAGAACTAACCATGGGTCGAGAGGCGCTAGGTGAAATGAATGAGAATGGAGAATTGTTTGCAGAATTCTGTGCATTCAACGATTTGGTGATTGGAGGCAGTGTGTTCAGGCACAAGGATATCCACAAAGCGACATGGACTTCACCAGATGGACACACTAAAAATCAAATCGACTTTATCTCAATCTCAAGAAAATGGAGACGCAGTCTACTTAACACAAGGTCAAGAAGAGGAGCAGATGTAGGTTCAGACCACTATCTAGTGCAAGGAACCTTCCAAATCAAGTTAAAAGCCTTCAAGGAAGCTGGTGATAGACCTCAATTCAAGTACAACACTCGGAAACTGAAGGATGAAACTACAAAGGAGATCTTCAAGGCAGCCATCAAGACAAAATGGGAGACATCGAGGGACATCCCTGAAGAAACCTGTGTGGAAGAACACTGGAAGTCTTTGAAAGCTATGTGGAAAGAAACCTGCACAACAGTATTAGGAAGGAAGAAGGAAGACAAGGAATGGATCTCGACGGATACCTGGAAGCTGATAGAGGAGAGGAGGATGGTGAAGCAGAAGATAAACCAGTGCAAGGATGCTCAACGACAAGAGGAACTGAGCACAATGTATAAAACACTGGACAAAGAAGTGAAGAAGAGTGCACGCAAAGACAAAAGACACTTCTACGAAACACTGGCAAGTGAAGCAGAACAGGCTGCAGGTAAGAGAGACCTGACGACATTGTATCAAATAACCAGGTTGCTATCAGGGAAGAGACCAACACAGATGAAACCAATAAAAGATGAAGAAGGAAATTTAATTACAAAAGAAGAGAAACAGAGGAAACGATGGGCCGACCACTTCAAGAAGCTCTTGAATCGACCACCACCTGCACTTCGTCCAGAAATACCACCTGCAGCCGCTGAATTACAAGTGAACATAAATCCCCCAACGAAAATGGAAGTCCTGAACGCCATAAAGCTACTGAAATGCGGGAAAGCAGCAGGACCAGATGGAATACCGCCAGAAGCACTGAGAACAGATGCAGAGACAACAGCGGACATGCTCACACCACTATTGCAGAAGGTGTGGAAGGAAGAGAAGGTACCGGACGATTGGAAGAAGGGTTACCTTGTCAAACTGCCGAAGAAGGGAGACCTCAGTGCTTGCAAGAACTGGCGCGGAATCACTCTCCTGTCCACCCCAAGTAAAATATTAAGCCGCATCATCCTGGAGAGGCTTAAAGACGCACTGGATTCAAAACTGCGACCGGAACAGGCAGGCTTCAGGAAGTACAAATCATGTGCTGACCAAATTGCAACGCTTCGTATCATCATAGAACAGAGCGTAGAATGGCAATCAGCTCTATACCTCAACTTCATCGACTTTGAGAAGGCCTTTGACAGCGTCGACCGAGAAGTAATTTGGAAACTGCTTCAATACTACGGAGTACCGCAAACCTTTATCCGCCTCATTCAACAACTATATGAAGATGCCACATGCCAAGTAATCCACAATGGGAAGCTCAGTGATGCCTTTGAAGTGAAGACAGGAGTGAAACAAGGTTGCCTACTATCCCCCATGATATTCCTTATTGTGGTGGACTGGATCATGCAGCAAACAGTAGGCAGCGAGAAGAGGGGGATACACTGGACGACGGAAAAGAACCTAGAAGACTTGGATTTCGCCGATGACTTATGCCTAATGTCACATAAACTTGAAGATCTGCAGGCAAAAACTAACAAGTTGACAGAAGAGGCAGCCAAGACGGGACTTCAGGTGAATATAGAGAAGACAGAAGTGATGAAGATACCGCACCACCACCATCAACAACAACAACAACAAACTCCAATCACCGTCAACGGGAGAAACTTGAAGGAAGTAACCTCCTTCACTTATCTAGGAAGCACTGTTTCAACTACAGGCGGGACGGACGAGGACGTCAAAGTCAGAATCGGAAAAGCAAGACAGGCGTTCATTAGCCTGAAACCAGTGTGGAGATCTTCTGCACTCAGCATGCGGAACAAGATACGGATTTTCAACACCAACGTCAAGTCAGTGCTCTTGTATGGCTCAGAGACTTGGCGCGTCACGAAAGGCATTTCCAATAAACTACAGACATTCATCAACAACTGCTTACGCTCGCTGCTGAAGATCAGATGGCCAGAAAAAATAAGCAACAAGGAACTCTGGGAACGAACCAACCAAGAACCTATCACGCAACAAATATGCAGGAAGAAGTGGAGATGGATTGGCCATGCACTGAGAAGGCCGACTGAGGACATCACGCGTCAGGCCCTCGAGTGGAATCCCCATGGGAAGCGACGAGTTGGACGTCCGAGGGTGACATGGAGGAGGTCATGCGAGGAGGAAATGAGAGCTTCTGGGCTGTCGTGGGACCAGGTTCAAAAGATCTCAGAGAACAGAGGTCACTGGAGGCGTGCTACTGAAGCCCTATGTTCCACTAGGAACCCAAGGGACTAATAATAATAATAATAATTACATTTTGATAAATATCACAGAGTACAATAAAAAGTAACCAAACAAAAGAACTTACTTTACTACAAAAGTATTCCATGAGTGCTGCACTACAATAAACATGATAGGTAACACGTGCATCATCACGGGCAAGCTTGAACACATATCTAGCAGACATGATACCTTCAGCACGTCTTGCAAATCTCATATACTGAATATAAGGCTAGATAGTTTTTTGAAGAAAAATATATCATACTTTGAACAAATGATTAAAGTCATTGCTTAGAGAAAAAAGATTATAAATATGACATAGTTTTCAGAGATAAAAACACAGAAAATAAATGAATGCCACTGCAGACCTACTCACATAAACGTGCGATAGTTGGTATCAATAAATATCAAGTAAACAATGGTACACACACAAAGTAGCATTCTTGAATTTTAAAATATCCATATACGACTTAGGCTCATTAGCAGACCTTTCACTTGTGAAAATACCCACATATTTATTTGACAACAAGAAAATCCTGTCTAAATGCGGTAGACAAAGCCCTCACCTGTGAAACTGTCAGTGCGTAAGAGTGAAGTGAAATTAATAGGCGTAAAGATTTATTTGTAGGAATTGAGAAACTCTACATTCACAAATCTGGTGTAGGTAGACTTCGGCATGATAGAAAACCGGTGGTACATAGAACCACAACAATAAAATGTGGGTGCACACTGTTGAGGAGTTCCATACTAGGACGAAACAACTGTCCGGTGCTCCCACGTTTCCAATTTTTCTCCAACTGATGTCAGCTAATGATAAATACCAAAGTGAAATAAAATGTGGGTTAAATATTTGACTCTGTATTTGATCATGTACCTGAACAATTAACTTCAGAGGTGTCATTCTGCTTACAATGCATATAGGTTTTCAGATACAATCTAACTGATGGTTACCAGCCAAAGTGTAGGTTGGAGAAAATAAAGAGATTAGATATCATCAAACTGGTCATCTTATCATCTCATTCCTCGAAAGAGTAATACCTCGAATTTCAGACGACACAGTAAAAAGTAGATTGTTCTGATGAAACAAAAGTTTTCCAAGTTGGTATTCATCATGGACTGAGATCGGTTGGAGGAACACTGGAAACCTGGGAGCGATAAACAGCTGTTTCGTCCTAATATGGAACTCTTCAGCAGTGAGCACCCATCAGATCAATTGGACTTGGGGGTTTGTAGGTTTGATCTAGTGCTCATTTGTGACTAGCTTAGAGAGGTAATTCCTGAAGTTCCAATGAGAAGTCATGACCAGTGGTGCAAACCTGGTGGCCATGAGGACAAATACTTAACGATGACATTGGGTGACGGTCAGGCCGTGTCGTGAACTGACAGAAGTTGGAAATATGAACCATTGGATTCCGACCCAGTGGCTCAATGGTGACTTGCTGGCCATGAAACCTGAATCTCCTGGGTTGGATCCCTGGCGGGGCCATGGGTGCCCACTGCTGAGGAATCCCATGCAAGTGGGACAAAACAGTGCTCCCAGGTTTCCAATGTTCCTCCAACCGATGTCAGTTTACGATGAATACCAACTTGAAGAAATCCCTAAATCCCATAAACCCCCAAATTCAAACAAAAGTTTGAGTTCATTTGACGGAATTTTATGCGAACTCATAATAATCAAGTAAAACCGTTTCAATTTGGAAACACCGATATGAAGAATTCATTTGAGTAGATTGTACTGAGAGTTTCCAGTGCAACACCTAAGACTGAGTCAATTATATTCCAGCGGTTAGTCAAATAAATAAAATTACACTTCATGAATCTTGATTTTTTTTGTGCTGTGTAAATGATCAATCGCTTCGTATGAAAAATCCAATTGTTAGAAATAACTTCCCTTATACTACGGTACACAATCATAGATATACCTTTTGATAATCAACTGCAAAGAATTTAGTTTTGAGTCACGTCGATAAACACAATGTAACAATCACAGAGCACTAATTCCGGTCATAGTAGATTTTCGCTGCATAAAACAGCATTATTAAGGGTTTTCACATTTCATATCGACAAATTCATACTATAGACATTAAGAGGATGAAGTGATGTCACTAGAGTCTAATAATTTCGAATTACAGAGCCACAACAATATTTGATGAAAGCTACATTGTAAAGAGAGTATATTAGGTTCAAAATGTTATTTCTAAAGTCTACTGCATGAGTCTCACAAGTTTAAAAGAATGATATACAGCTGACTGCAGCCAACCGATCGCAGTGAAGCAGACTACAAGTGCTAACTGAGAACATTCACAGCATAGTTGTTGAATACTTAAAATGAAGACGAGAAATCGTTTAACCCAATTTAGATGAAAGCAATATGCTACATTGCTGAGTAGCGCAAATATCTATAAATATGTTTGCAAAATCGCTCCACTAATTCATGAAGTACAAGGGATTCTTAGTGAAGAATTACCCTTTTCAGCGACTCTCTTGATAACGTAGATTACTGCTTCCAAAAGCATGTTGAACAAATTCTAGAGATTCAAAAAGGCATTAAACAATTTGAAAACAAATATGTCCTGAAGGCTGAAGCAAGATGAAGTAACTAGGTCGCATAATGTAGTCTGCTTAAAACAAGTGAGTTCAATTTAACAATCAAATTAGGCCGGTAAGGTAGAAGGATATGTCATAAGGAGAGAAGAGGTAATACGTAAGGCCATGAAAGATGACACTGAGGTTAAACTGCAAGCTCATCTTTCTCCTTTGTAGAACCAAGATGGCATATGTTCGACGATCCGTTTACAAAGCAGACGCTGAGTAAGGCCGACATACCTTGCTTCACAGGAATGAGTGACCTGATAGATATACGTTGAAGAGGCCAACTGCAGTAGCTTATCCTTTACGCATAATTGAATTAATGGTTGCATGCACAACGAGAGTCAGAGTTTAACCGGGAAAACGTTTTCTCAATAAATAGGATAAGCGATTTTTCAATATTTTCGCCAATAAGTCTCCATTAAACTATGGACTCAAGAAGAGTAACTGTTTGTGAACCATAAATACACTGAGTTTGGCTGATTTCAGTTTCATTTCTTTCATAATAAAACGTTCAGGATAGTTGTTTTAAATCAGAGCATTTTTAGGAGTATTTAGCTCTTCATTATTGGCCTCACGACTACAAATGAGAAACGATATTCATTGCTGCATACACTGCAACCAACTAGAAAATCTAACGTTCACAAGATCACGAGAACCTTTAAGTAAGTGATACTTACGCAACTCCTGATCAACACACTATTCTGTGAGGAAAGTTCGGTGTATAATAAAATATAATGCAACACATGCATCAGTGTAAGATAAAAAGACGTCTTACCAATGTTGGATCAATATCTCCCAAAGAAACCAACTTTTTATAGATGGAATGAACCTTCGCATATTTACAACGACCTTCTTCATAATCAGCATAGGCGAAATACAGCATCATATTTGTTTTCAGTAAAGCGATAGCTCGTTCATACATCGCTGCTGTATCATTTGAAAATTGTCTAGCAGTTGTTTGATCCTAAGAGTAATAAATAAATAAGCTGAAACCAACACCAAGTGGATGTCATAAAGTGATTAAAAATCAATTCGATTGTCGGATCAGTAGCAAAAAATCTCATTAAGAGAATCGAGGAGGTAGGAAACCTAACTGGTTCGGAAAAAGCAAACTCAGAGTCGTAGGTGCTGTGGTCTATTAACTAGCTGCTAAGTTACGATTTTTCACTACAATCATCAAGTATTTTGCTTAACAGTTGTGTAAAGTGAGAGATACAAGCCTGGTCACCCTTTTATTGAACTAGCTACCTAGTGAAGCTATCTCATTTCAATTTACAACGATGGCTTTGGTTGGTTGGTTGACAAAAGTAGCGAACAGCAACATATAAATGCATGTTTTTACTGCATTGGGTCATGACAATATGATTTGGTGAATTACTGGTTTGGTGATTTATAAATAGTCGGTAGGTACAAGTTAGAAGTATTTCTACGGATAAAATTAGCGTTATTCGCCTAAAACAAATAGTTCGAGTGTATCACAATCTTTTGTTTGTTTTTTCTACTGAAAATACTGGAAAGATTAACTATTTTCCCATGCTTCCCATTAAGCGGTAACACTAGAAATATACAAGCATAAGAAAATTATCCTATTTACACAATATAGCCAGTAGGCACAGAACAGTGAATGGAAAATAACAAATCTCGGTCAATATGAAGTCCCATTTAAAGAAATGTATACCTACAAGAGCGTAAAAAAATTACTAACAGACGTTCTAATTCGCTGATATAAGGCCATTGTGTAAAATTACAACATGTTCCGTTCACCTACACATAAAGTGGCGAAATGATTAGCAAAAACTTTAATTCCTAATCGAAATGAATTTAAGTTTTCTTGAAAAGATACTTTTGAACTTGTTGATTATATTAGTGATATTAATATCAAAGATAAGAGGTTGTATTCATTTGATGTCAACTTCTTATTTACTAATGTACCCATAATTAAAACCGTTGACATTCTTTGTGACCATATATCCTCCAGTAATCCTTCTTTTCCTATCCCGTCAACAAGTTTGAAAGAGCTGTTATTGTTATGCACTGTTAAAGTTCGTTTCACATTTGAAAGTGAACATTATCGACAAATAAATGGTGTGACTATGGGAAGTCCCCTAGGACCACTGCTAGCTGATATTTACATGTCACACATCGAAGGCTTAACCGGTGATCTCATCAGTAAAGTTACTTTATAAAAGATATATTGATGATATAATCGTGATATGTGATAAGCATGAAGATGCGACATGTTTGTTAGAAAGATTTAATAACGTACAAAACAACATAAACCTAACATGTGGAGAAAAAGAAAACCATCTACCATTCTTGGATATACTCCTTAGTCGTAGAAATGATGGTTCAATAAAACGATCGATCTACTAGAAACCTACTTGGACAGGTCAGTATTTAAGTTTCCATAGCTTTTGACCAACCCAATACAAGCGAGGTTTGGTAACTTGCCTATTTAAAAGGATCCAGTGTATTTGTACGAAAGGCTCAATGGATGATGATATTAAAATACTAACGGGAACATTAGTGGAAAATGGATATCCATTGAAGTTCATAAACCGCTGCGAAACTCAGCAAGGATTCAAACCTTATCTGTACTCTGTTTCGAAAAAATGCGTTTAAATCGCGTTACCAAACAGAGGAGAATCTAACAGCATAATATTAAAACGAAGGCTAAGGTCTGCTGTTAGCGAAACGTACTATACAGCTAAGCTTATCGTAGTTGAAAAGACCAAACACCTGCTGCAACCTAGACCTCAACGCTGCATAAACGATTGAGTCACATCCCACCGCGTTTATAAATTTACATGTGTGTGTGGACAAACACACATAGGGAGGACTAATCATGATATGCACTTAAGGGTAGGGAAACACATGTTCCAAAATGGCTACGAAAGCAGCTGGATTCACAAACATTGATAAGCGCAGATGCCAGACAACCATCATCACCCACTGCAAAACATATCATTGATAAGAGTCACAGGATTGATATTAAAACAGCCTCTACAATTTAGTATAGAAACTGTCAGGGGTGTATACTTAAGTTTGTTGAAGGGCTAGCCATAAATTAATTTAACCCCCCCATTGTGTGTGAAAAACAGTTTGTTTTTACATGAAGCCTACCTTGATAACGCTTATTTCATCGTATTACCAGGATTGTCTTCAAATCTTATCCTTTTTTTCTACCCATTGTCTTTCTTATTATTGAATTCCTTAATGTCATATTTGTCCTTCCCCCACTTCCAGTTTTCATAGATAATGCCTTAACAGGTGAATGTGTGATCAGATTGTTCAAAATGTATAGCGCTATTACATCACATTTTTCAGATAATCTACGTCTTCTAATTACATTATCCAAAAGCAAATACATTCAATCTGGAAAAAAATGCTTGATCAGTATTATGGCCAAGTTTTAGGTAGTATTCAGTAAGTATTAACGTAGGGTCCGATAATACCATGCATTGCTACATCTTAAACCAGAAAATGAAGACACAATACAACAGGACGATAAACAGAAGAAGAGGAATAGTGTAGTCAAAAGTCGTAGAAAATCATTAGAAGAGAAAAGGGTAGTAAGACAAGTAGAGATATGTAATTTAATGATTGGGATGAGAATGTAATGCGGTTGAGATTGCACAAATGTGATCGTTTATGAGGCGCATCACGTAGAGTCTCTAGTCATTGATTTTGGGTGGCACAAACATTCCACAACCAGGAAGTTTACATTTCCGATACAACTCGAATTAACAGTAAGAGACTGAATGAATTGTCGCCTCAATTCAGATTCCGTAGTGGTGACGTACGATGCCAAACGAAATAACAAAAGCCGGTCCCAGTAAAACTAACTTTCCTGCTACGATTCACCGATAAAATGTTTATTTTTTCATCATATATGGGAAAGATGAAAACTTCCGTAGCCGATACAGTAGCATTTTATTAACTAAACATCTTCGTTAGAATAATACAACGTAAATCAGGTATAAATATTATCTCAAACCAAACTACTACACACTTATCAGCACACAGCAAAGAGAGTCTTCCATCTTGTCCTGACTGTGTACAACATTATTTCTTAAGGCAATGTTTACAACTAAATAACACGTCTCAACCATCTTAACCTGCGGAGAATAAGGTTAAAAAAAATGTTACATCACCAAAGATTGTCAAGTTTACTAGGCTTAAAAGGAAGCTATGACTTTTAGACCAAGAAACGATCATCCTATTCATCAAATTACTTTTATGAACAAAAGAAATTGGATGAAACACAATACGTCGGAATCCAATTCAAGTAGGTCTGACAAAATACTCACGAATTTTGACTGAGGTGATGTCATTATCACTTCGCCACAGGACTACACATACAAAGAGTTAAGCAGCAACCTACAAACAGCATCTAAACGTGTCAGAGAGAAGACTGACGACTTGCCACCAGCTTGTGAACCTGTTAAGTTTAAAATACAACTATATACGGATTCAACAGCGATTCCAAATGTATAACGACGTGTATAACGACGTTGTTTCGCGATTATTTCTGTAAGTCAACAAAAATAAGTAGACACACAGAAAAGCACTTGTTTATTGATCACGGAGTGACAGCCAATGTGTCAGTAGCACTAAATATTTCAATAAAAAGATTAAAGACCAAGAATGGATACACTTAGCAACGTTGTGCACCTTAGTAAGGCAGGCAACGAGCTACACTTATTATGTAAGGGTTAGTGATACTAACTGCCTGCTCCAACCTCGGTAGGTGGAGCGCGGCTTGAAACCGTGACCTAGTGGAAGAAAGTCATCTTCCCAAACTAATGACCAGTGAAGGGTTAGTGAGAGCTCAGAATACTTTACTCTTCAAAACTAGCAAATGGAGCAGCTGTGTCAGGTAATGAAGCAACTATTTAATTAGGACTCCAATACCGGTTCAGAGAAAGTGTGCAGTGAACACAAGTGTAGTTTAATACTGTTGGATGCGGCCAAAGTAAAGGATTTATGAAAGGATTATTGGCCTTCCTATACAGCGTAAATACAGTAAAGTTTGAGAACCTAAAGCTATATCCCACACGGCTAAGTGTACTTATAGAAGCACTGTCTAAAAAAATTCGGTGACGAATGGTTTCAGCCGCCCATTGATTCAAGTTAGATCTTCTACACGCGTAAGGTATCTATTCCAGAGCCCCAGTATGATGGATGAAAACATAGTGTGACCAGATGAAGCACCAAGTAACGATGATGCAGATCACGAAGTTTATGATTGACTGACAAAATCAGCACAGAACCTTGAACACGAGTGCATCGGCTTAGGTTACCACAATTCACAGTAGGACACAAAGAACAGATGGATAGGAAAGAAGTGATATCAAAGTAGATAAAGTAGTGTAAAAGGATAAACAATCTGAAGATAAAGGTTAGAGCGAATATCCAAGCTTTAGATGTCTAGGAGTGAATCATCATCAAGTAGTCAAAGAGTAAATACATCTGCACCGTTGTGACCGATTTTCAGCCGTCACAAAGAGTCCTCAACCACTCATTCTTTTCGTCTCCAGGACCCCAATCAGTTGGTCTACATCCCCCCCACACGACTCAGACCGACAGAGACTTTATCGACTGCTGTCACGTCTTCCTCTGTCCACCCTGAACCCTCTTACAACCTAGTCCAACTTCCCCTAGCATGGCACGTCGAGGTAGGCAGTGACTCGGCATGTGCAACCCACGTCCAAGCCATGTCAGTCGGCTAAGGTTCACAACCTCATCAATCGACTAGCCTGTTTTGTATAGCAACTTTCGCTTGACCTCAACACTGCTCACATGGTGATTCTACCTCATGTGAGCAGTGTTACGAAGACATTTTAGTTCAAATACCTGTGTTCACTTCATGTCATCTTACATTTGATAGGTGCGAGATGCACGCCAAACATACTCAAATTTCTGCTCAATGCGTTCATAAGACCTTGCATTTCGTCAGCATCTTCAAATAGCAGGACAATATCATTTGGATACTCCAAGTCAACTAGATGACCTCCGGGTAGGGGAGCATGTCAATCCTTGTGACGTACGTCTTTGATACAGTTGAGTGGGAACGGTGATAGTGGACATCTTCGGCGAATACCACTAGTTGTCATCAATTCATATGACAACTCTCCATAAGCCACTACATGGCTGTGTGAGTTCAAGTAGAGAGCTTCGATTAGCGTTACATACTCTCTCCGTATTCCCTTCACAGTCAAACCAGACATTACTACAACACCTCACGGTCGACAGAGTCAAATGTAACCTTCAGGTCAAGGAATATGGCAAGTGCCGGTCGTTAGCTGGTAAGTATGTCTATGTGCCAGATACTTGTCGGAGGGTCAATGTTTGATGTTCTTGGGCTCCAGTTAGGCGTCGGATTTCAGGATCTTGGACACATCATTAGTTAAACTAATTCCCCTATGGTTGTCACAAGAAGATTTTCTCCTCCTTTTTATAAACTGGGATGATCAGGGAAGTAGACTAGTCTGAAAACACTACCCCTGATTCCTATCCACTATCTAGTACCTCCGTTACTTTAATCAGCAATTCCTACCTCCATCCTTGAAAAATTCAGATGGCAAACCACCAGGTCCTGCTGCTTTGCATCGTCTCAGCTTTGATACAACCTTCTCAACTTCAAAGAGAGTTGGAGGACATAGACGTCCCATTCAGGTTCAGACTGGATGTTGGGCAACTGAAGCGTTACCGAGGGCAAGCTGGACTGTGCTTCAGATTGTTCTCCTCAACGTTTTAGCCCCCTGTCCTGGGAGGTTATCAGAGTTCCATCCTTTTCAGTGACGGTTTCACTAACCATCATCTTCTTGGTGGTATCCATAATAAGCCAAAATAGGTGCAGTGTTAACCAACACTTATGCCTTCTCCATCTTTTTCGCCCTAACCACCCAACACTGCTCGCGCTCAACGCGAAGACTCTTGACCAACTTACGTTCGAGTTGCTTTTGCTTTTCATCGTGGTCAGAGCCAGCTAGAAATGGTTTTCGCGTATCAATCAGTTCGGATGATCTCGCGGAAATCTAATGACGCTTGCCAACCTTTTTGTGTCGGTTACCAACTGTATTTACCCCCGTTTCTACACCAGACTTAATACCGCACTAAGTTTCCTCAGGATGAACATTGCTGTCAGGTTTAGACAAATGCTAAGATAACTTTTCTCTAGATGCATACTTGGCCACCTCATCTACCAGTCGAGTACAGATGAACCTCACTGCCTTCTGCTGCCTGAGGCAAGTAAGGAGCAGACACACCAGCCCGTGCTAGCGCATAATCGGAGTCCATAAAGCGTGGAAATCCTCCACCGATTCTCTTCAATGACCGCTTATCGAATACTATTCATGTGTCCACCGTCGGTTCGATGTCGGTGGACGCCATGCGAGGCAGTGTCTCTCCTGATGCCTAAAGTTAATGCTAGCCAAAAGCAAGTAATTGTTGAAACAAAATTGCAGCAACAGATGATCCACAGTTGTTGGCTTACTGATATGGGATTCTGTAAATACCTCCGAGATACTTCTCCAATTTGCTCAGCTTCCCTACTTGAGCATTAAAGTCACCTGTTATTATGACTATATCTGGACGTTTTGCTTTTTGTAGCAAAGTGGACAGCTTCCCATAGAATTCATCCTTTGCACCATCCAACCCAAACTACGGTCCATGGGTGAGCAGGCGGAGACTACGAATAAGTATCGTTTGGTCTTGCCATTCTCCCTAGTCCTTACAGATCCATTCAGTCGAACAGCACACATACGGCTGTCTACTGGTACTCAGTCTAGAGGCGCACTCTCTACTCTGCAACTCAATGCTATGCTTACACCAATGAGTCCGCAAGAGCTAGTCATTGGGTCGCCGGATACTCTTAAAGTGAATTTTGAGAATCCACTACTATGGCCAAGTGAGGCCAATTTAATAACCACACTCGGTTCTTGTATACTTGTCTCAGAGACACAGCACACATCCATAGCTAGAGATTAGAGTTTTCACGAGCAATGCTTACTGACCGATTCGAGCATTGAAAGCTTCTACACGAAATACATGGTGGCGGGACATAAGAGACTAGGAATGAGGTTCCGATGGCTTTGATTGTTGACAACGGTTGCAGAGTAAGAGGTTGAGGCAGGTGTAAGAGGCTTAATGTTAGTATCAGGAGGTGAAGGCAAAGGAAGAGATATAGTTGATGAGGATAGGTGATGTTTGATTGGGTCTTGTATGCTACTGGAAGCATGCGGAAGGTTGATACTTCCAGGGTACCCGAACCGTGGAAAGTTTTTTCTTTTTGAGGTACCTAAAAGAGAAAAAGGATTGCGTGACAGCAGAGCCCATGGGATATCTGCTTGAGGTCTGTCAAGCGTGGTCTTCTGAGAGATGTTGTTTTGAGATTTGGTTGCTCTAACACCAACTAGAGAGAAAACCATGGGACAGGTGAAGTGTGTTATGTTTGATGCTGACTTCTTCTAACCCCCACCTTCTCCTGCTGGGAAGGCAGCATCAGCGTGGCACTGCTGGTCATCCAAGGGAAACACCGTACTGCTGTCATACCCCATCCAGCTAGCAGCAGAACCATTTCTCCCTCACCCCTGCCCATCGCAGTGTAGTAATTTATACTACAACGACCATATTTTTCGTCATACTACTATGCAACATACCTTTCTGACATAGTAGGACTCCGAGAGAACATGCGTTCCGCCAGGATAGCCTGTTGTGTCATCGTGATATGCAAGCCCGACCACCGCGTCAAGGTAGCAGCTAGTGGTCGGGTGATGACAGTTTGCAGAAGCATCGTCTATTGAATATAGTGCACCACAACGTCGTGTCTCGCTGCTTGGTAGCCATATCGCAAAACGTAATCGACAGCGTTCGACCAGTGCGAAACAGTTGCATCAGTTACCTACTGGTGGCCAACTTGTATGGAGTTGACAGATACATCGCACTAGAAAATAATGGAGAATATTTGTAGCTCCCACTATGAAATCTGTTAATAACCAATTGTTAGGAGTTGGACTTCACTTTGATTTCTTTCATATCTTCTCTTATACTTCTATATCTACAAAATCACATTCTATTTGGCAACTGAAATGTGGCCAGTTTCAGAATTTTGAAGTAGACAAATAAAGATCATTCACTGATATGATACTTGTAATTTCCAGTTGCTATACACGGCCGAATTGCGCGACTTCTGTTGGCAGATGGGCTATAGGTACTGGATTCGCGCCTCAGTGGGAACATCACTACTCACTGGGGTGCAGATGCATCCAGCTGACGAATCCCAAATGGGGCGAAACGCACATCCTGGGTTCCTCTGCTGGTCACCAAGATCGATAAAACATCAGTCACTTTGAGCAACAGCATTAAACTAATGTGTAATGACAAACATCCGAATACCTAAAAGATAACTGAAAATCACGACACTGTCTACAATATGATTTCGATAATATAGAAAAATGACACTTAGTGATTTACTGAATGATGAAAGACATCAATTAACAATCAGTAACACATGTAACTTAAGACAGGAACGAACTCTTATTTTACTTTTAGAGACTCTGAAGAAAAGATAATTCTCTCTCCCTTTATCGAAAAGCTGACACAATAAGAAACACTGAAAATAACTGAATTAATTCCTTAGACCTATCTTAGGCATGATAATTGTGTCGATTTTTAAATGACATTAATATTAAACTGACTAATAGAATGCTTATCAAAAAAAATTTACTGAAGTGATAAATAAACGCTACGGAACATAATGGATTCTTACCCCTTTTTCAACCAAAACTTTGCTTGCGTGATCCAGATAACTAGCAGCTTCATACCATATATCAGGATGGTGTCCAAGGCATAGCAGACATTGTTCATATGCAAACATCACTGAAAGTGATGAAAACCACGTGTTCAGTGTACTCAATTAAAATATAAACTTTATCTAACAAACTCAAAATTTTAACATAAGGTTAAAGCATTATTATATATAATATCATGTAACAGATGGATAGCTTGAATACTATTGGCGCATTCTGAGTTTATCTTTTATTATTATTATCACTATTATTACTTTTCCATTGGGTTCCCAGTGGGATATAGGCTTTCAGTAGCACGCCTCCATTCCACTCTGTTTTCTGCAGTCTTTTCAACCTCACCCCACGACTGCCTACAACCTTTCATTTCTTCCTCACACCATCTCCTCCATGTCACCCTCACCTGGGACGCCCAACTCGTCATCTCCCCTTTGGGTTCCACTCAAGGGCCTGACGCGTGATGTCCCCAGTCGGCCTTCTCACTGTATGCCCAATCCAATCCATCTACACTTTCTTCTACATATTTGTTGGGTGATAGGTTCTTGGTTGATTCATGACCCAGCCAGAGCTCCTTGTTGTTTATTTTTATTATTCTGGCCATCTGATCTTCAGTATCGAGTGAGCGTAGGTGGCAGCTGTTGATGATGTATGTCTGTAGTTTGTTGGAAGTGCTTTTCGTGACGCGCCAAGTTTCTGAACCACATAGCAGCAATGACTTGACTGACGTTCGTGTTGAAAATCCGGATCTTGTTCATGCTTTATGCTGAGTGGAGTGCAGTAGATCTCCACACTAATTTCAGATGAATGAAAGCCTGTCTTGCTTTTCCGATCCTGGTTTCGATGTCCTCGTTTGTGCCACCGCCCCCCCATAGTTGAAACGATGCTGCTAGGAAGGTAGGTAGGTAGGTGAAAGAGACTACTTCTTTTAGGTTTCTCCCGTTAATGGTGATAGGTGCTTGTCGTTGTTGGTTGGGTATCTTCATCACCTCCGTCTTCTCTACGTTCACCTGAAAGAAGTCCCATCTCCCTTCGCTGCCTCTTCTGTCAGCTTGTGCAACATTAAAAATACATCATCATCGACAGCGAAATCCGAATCTTCTATGCTCTTTTCATCGGTCCAGCCAGTATACGCCCATCTTCTCACTCCTCACTGTTTGCTGCATGATCCAGTCCAATCGACCACAACCAGGAAGATCATGGGTCATAGTAGACAGCCTTGTCTTGTCTTCACTCCAAAGGCATCACTGAGCTTTCCATTGTGGATCACTTGGTATTTGGCCTTTTCACATAGCTGTTGAATGAGGTTGATAAAGGTTTGTGACACTAAAACCGTAGTGTTGAAGCAGCTGCCTGCCAAACTACTTCTCGGTCGACGCTGTTGAAGGCCTTTTCAAAGTCGATGAGGTTGAGGTTGAGCTGACTGCCTTTCTGTACTCTGTTCTGTGATGATGCGTACTGTTGCAATTTGATCAGCACATGATTTGTCTTTTCGGAAGCCAGCCAGCAGCTTGTTCCGGTCATAATTTTGAATCTAGCGCAGCTTTTAGCCTCTCCAGGATGATGCGGCTTAATATTTTGCTTTGGTGGACAGGAACAGGAGCATGATTCCGTGCCAGTTCTTGCAAAGGCTTAGGTCTCCCTTATTTGGGAGTTTGACAGGGTAGCCTTTCTTCCACTCGACAGGTATCTTCCCTTCATCTCCCCAAAACTTGTGCAGTAGTGGTGTAGTGTGAGCATGTCCACCGTTGTCTCTGCGTCCATTTTCAGTGCTTCTGTAGGAATTCCAGTTGGTCCTCCTGCTTTCCGGAATTTCAACAACTTTATGGCATTTAGGACTTCTGCTTTTGTCGGAGGGCTTGTGTTCACTTGTAGTTCTGCCGTTGCTGGTGGTATATTCAAACGAGCTGCGGGTGGTGGTAGTGGTTGATTCAAGGGTTTTATGAAGTGCTCAGCCCATCGTTTTCGTTCTTCCTCCTCTTAGGTAACTAGCTTTCCTTCACTTTCTTTCACTGCTTTCATCTGCGTTGATCTCTTGCCCCCTCCCCCCCCAGATAGTAACCTGGTTACTTGATACAATGCTGTCAGGTCTCTATCTCCCCTACCTGCGGCCCGTTCTGCTTCACTTCTCAATGGGTCGTAGAAGTGTCTTTTATCTTTGCATGCACTCTTCTTCACTTCCAGTGTACAGTGTTTTATACACTGTACTCAGTTCTTCTTTCCGTTGTGCATCCTTGCACTGGTTCATCTGCTTCATCATCTTCCTCTCCCTGCTCTATCGGCTTCCATGTGTCCATCGAGATCCATTCCCTGTCTTGTTTACCCTTCCTTCCTAATACGGCGACGCAGGTTTCCTTCCACATAGCTTTCAAAGACTTCCAGTGTTCTTCCACGCCGATCCTTCAAGGATGGTGACCAGTGTCTCCCACTTTTGCTGATTGCTGGCTGACGTGAAGATGTCCTTTGTAGTTCCGTCCTTCAGTTCAGTTTCTGGGTGGGTGTTGAACTTGAACTGTGGTCTATCACCAACTTCTTTCAGGGCTTTCAACTTGATTTTGATAGTTCCTTGCACTAGATAGTGAGTGGTGTGAACCTACATCTGCTCCCCTTCTTAATTTGATCTTCTGTCCAGTAGGCTGCGTCTCCACTTTCTTCACATTGAGATGAAGTCGATGTGATTTTTAGTGTATCCTGGTATTTGGTGAAGTCCATGTCGCTTTGTGAATATCCTTGTGTTCGTACACACTGCCTCGCCTCCAACCACCAGATCGTTGAATACACAGAAATCTGCAAACATTTCTCCGTTCCCATTCACTTCACCGAGTGCTTCTCGACCCATGTTGATTTCTCTTCCTGTGTTGTCCGCTCCGAGTTTGGCATTCGTGTCGCCCATTGGAATTTTGATGTCACCAACTAGGGTGTGGTCTTGTCCAGTACTGATTGCAGTTGTCTGCAGAATTCCTCCTTCTTCTCTTCATCTGCATTATTTGTTGGCCCGTAGCATTGAATGATTGTGACTTTCCTTCCTTTCGAGTTGAATCTTCCCGTCATGATCCTGATGCTGGATGAGATTGGTTCCCACTTCATGAGAGCCTCCGATGCTCTTCGAGACATCATGATAGCCACTCCGAAACTCAGTGTGCTCGTGGTTGTCATCTGGGTGACAATATCGGAGTAGATTATCGACTCTCCAGTTGATAGTTGAGGGAGTCCACTTCCATCTCATCTGCTCTTGCAGATTCCTAGCACTTCCATGCCACATCTTCTCATCTCTTTTGCAATCTGGGCAGCCTTACTAGGTTCATACATGGTGCGGACACTCCATGTCCCCATCCTTACTTTGGCTTTCATCAGAAGAAGGCAGATTGATCGATTGGCTTCCCGAAGGCTTCCACCGGCCGGCGTCATTTCATCCCTCCGACTCCAGGGAGGAATAAGTTTGTTCTTATTTTTAATGTCTTTTGTGCTTTGAAATTTCTTCAGTGATTAGATTGGTTTGCCTTTAGATCAAAGGAAATCTCCATATCAATCGAGGCACCATCTTTATTGAACACAGTCTCACATATATTCCACATAATAGTGATTCTGTTGAATCACATGTTGTATAGACCCAACGAAGGTGGAGTATGGAACTGAAATAATTATATATACCTTTAGATTATTGCTAGTTTTATAAAACGTTGCGAAGCATTTATGTTACAGTATAGCCAAATAGCTGTATTTATTAGCTTGATTTTGATGGCTTAATTATTATTGCATTACCGTTCATTCACTTCATCTTTGTAAATTATTTCCTGCAGTTTGTAATTTTCGTCAATAACTTCATAAATCCAGAGGATTGAAAGTACCTGTCTAATAAGAGGCGAAACGTCTGGCCAGTCAATATTTTTTTAATACGTAAAGGTCAGAAGTTCATAACAACAGGACTTAGGACCAGGGAGCATGCGGTGACCAAGTAATCAATGGCGGCCTGAAAAGCTCAGTGGTAACCTATCTGACCACAGCACTGGACGATATGGGTCCGAATCTCTATGAAGATATCAGTTCCCTCCGGGTTGCAGACACGCCTTCCTCAATTGAGCCAATAAACACGAAACCCAAATCAACGCCTTCCTGCCGAATGCTCTCAACGACGTAACAAAAAAGTTAATAACATCTAATACACAATGTATATGGCAATGGCAATGATATTGTCGCAATAATCATTTAGGTTCAGATACTAGGGTTTCACCTATAGCCATTTTATGACTTAGCTGCTTAAACCCTGTCACATGGAGTGGGTTTTGAATCTATGATCTACTTGTGTTCCCAGTCTAGCAGTGTCTGGAAATTAAATGTGATGTATCTGATTGGTAATGGCTAGCAGACGAAACAGAATGCTCGCTTTGAATTCTACTGCTAGCTGCCACCAATCAAACTACATCACAGTCGCAAGATTGACCAAAAAATTCTCTTCTAAATTCCTTCAGCTCCTATCAATCAATTCTCTTCTGTTTGTCGTGGATTTCGTTTCATCATTATGCTCCAGGTATCCGTTAGAGCCTAAATGACAGTCAAAACTGCATAAATAAAGATTGGGTAATACAAGTCAGCTGTAGTCATCATTCAAAACAGTTGCCTATCACATAACAAATGATTTCCAACCCTATATAGTAGTCAGGATTTAATAAAAGATTTGACCTGACTCAATCTAATTAGTTCTCATTAAATTACATGTGATAACAGCCAGGCACATATAAATTTACTAGGCTACGAGCTACAACGTAGGAGCAACTGACACTACCCACCTGCCTAAATCTAAGTCGATGGAAAGGGCTTCGACTCTTCATTTATTGCTTGAAAGTCAGGTGTTTAGTTCGATGGGTTATATCTCAACACCAAAATAAGGGAGTGATACTAAAAAAACTCAATAACACGTAATACCAAATTCATTTTCGAAATGGAAGTGAAAAGCCATCAGCTGATCTTTCACTAGTTCTTGGAGATTTGGCGCATTGGTTGAGACAGTAGACTTCTAGCCTACGGTGTGCTTATCTGCCTAGTGTGAGAAATTGCAAGTGATTGCTGCAGCTATTTACTTTTGCATCTTTAACTGTTTTATGTATCAGTCAACCTTTAAGTTGGTCCTAAAAGATAATGAATCTACCAAAACACCAAGCACATCTAAAATCGTATGTTGTAGCTGGATCTGATAAACAGATGGCAGACCGCAAATTAATTTAAATATAACAATGCCTTAAATGAATTTACAGAAACTAAACAATTGTACTGAACGGAACCCAGCAACTACATGTAACTCTGTATACTGCGCTTATGCCAATTATGCTACTACCTGATTACCAGTACCTTTATGGAATAGAGTTCGAAACCGCCAACCACTGCTTGGAAGTCGAATGGCTAGACCGACGAGCCACAACTCTACTAAAACATGAAAAGGATGTTTTACGCATTCTACAATATTACTAACCTCTTTTCGTAATTGTGATAATATCTTCTGTTTTCAAAGGATTATCCTTTTCCACTGGATATACTTCTTCCAAAGTTCGACCTACATAACAGAATATATGTATATATATATATATACTCAGAAAACAAGCAACCGACTGCAAAGCCTATAAACAAGGTTGACCATCCTTGGAATAAACTTCCAAGTTTGTACACTCTTCAGAGTAATGGTAGCAACCGATTGAAAATTCATTGTAAAATAAAACTCGAGAAACACCAAGCGATCAAAAGCGTTGCACACTCGCGAAGGATACATATCACTCCACCTTCATCTGATTGCTTTTACTACTGCTAGCATACCATAAGTTTTCATTTCTTTTCCGTCCACCTTGTTAACTTCATTTTACCTTACTGATGTTAAATGTTACAACTTGAACCAATCAATATCTTATTAAAATGTGTTTAGATGACTGCTTGATTATCACTATGGTAATGAAAGATGACTCAAACCACAAAAAGCGATATTTACCGAACACTGAGCACACAATGAAGTGCTGGGGAATATTTAGGGCTCATGTGGATGAGTTGCATGGTTTAGTCATTGAACTTTCATTGTGTCTGGATAACAGCAGCATTAACTTCAACATGAAGTGAGTTATCAGTATTTCCATGTGAGTGATCAAGTATCTTGTCTTAACGAGGTAGCGTGTGATTTCTTATGATTGTTTTTTATTATTATACAGAACTCCTTGTTGGTTATCTCTCTGTTTGACCTCTGACCTTATAGCTATTATCATTTTCCTTACTGGAATTTAGACTAGGTTACACCTATTGATTGCTGATTGACTCGAGTCCCAAGCTTCCAAAATTTCTCCGGTATTCGTTCTGTTTTTTTCTGCCTAAACATTCACACTTTTAGAATCAAAATCCTGACTATAGTTTTCCAAACAGACTGATATAAGTGATGAAATGCAGTGCCATTTAATTGCTAATCGAAGTTCGCGTAGGCGAAGATAGAGACCACTTTATTCAACACAGTGTTTATCACAGTGCTGATGTTAGCTAAAGGAACAATGAAAGCTACATGATTAAATCAACCAGCTCGGAGAATACAACATTACACAATGAAGTATTAGACAAAATACGATAGATATGTTAAATCAGTACCTTCAGATCCGCGTTAGGCGGCAAATAAAGATAACTACTAGTTCTCTAAAGTGTAATTTTTAGCGTATATATGACCCTTTGCTATTGCATTATATTCACAAGCACAAAACATATTACTTGGAAAGTAAGTAGAATGCAAAAAGTAACGAACAAAAGGTGGATTACGCAGATTTGACATTAACTATAGTAGGCAGGAAATGTTGGAGATGAAAAACTAGATCGAAGACAGGAGTTATTGTTAGAACAGAAACATTAAAGTGAATTAGCCACAAAAATCTAAATATGTCCTATATGAACTCACTTGCTTAACTTCATACGGTGTATTTTGCGGTGGTACTGAAGGCATAGTCCGAGTCAGTCCTTTGGTAATTACTTCATATTCTTTGGCAACACGACGTGCGTTCATGTAGTCCCGACTACGTTCTTCAGTAAACTTCTTCGCAATAAGAGGATTGATTGAATTTTCATACATACAATAGTCACGCCAAATAGTTTCTATACCAAGCATAGGGTAACAATGGCACGCTGATAAACGCGTCTAGTTGCAGTTATTTTCTGACTTTCTGCATACGAACCCTGAACCTGACTGTGCGAAGCAAGTAACGTTTAAAAGCACTATATAGAGTTATTCATACTCCGAATGACTATATCTTTGTAGTTAAATGATGGCCTAGTAGGGAATTTATCGCAATGATGTGCATAAATAATACATGAACAAATACAGGAAAACCCAGTAATTCAACTTCAAAGCTTTTAATCTCAACAACTCAACAGAATTAAATTGAATTACACTTATCCCTACTATCTAGCATTTGTCATTAAAACTAATGCAAACAGTACGACCTTAGTGTTCTCGATTAAAACTAAGTCCATACCAATCCTTGTTTAAACTGAGCACTAGAGGCGAAAAGAATACATACACTAGTCAATAATGAGATTATAGCATTCCCTTGATAACGGACCAAGAGACGACGAACAAACATCAAATCTTTAATTGAATTTCTTAGGACCATTCCACATTTGGTATTGTAAGCTTATGATAACTTAGAGGAAAATAAGGTGCTGATAATATAATTCCCACGAGTTTTTCTACATCAACAGCACAAAATATGGGGGAATCAAGTTGTGGTGGACAGGGTTGTTTGGTAATAACAGACAAAAGACGATCTGAGGTCCTGATATACTGTTAGACAAGTGAATTGACAACTAAAGTAGGTTTCCGCATCCGTTTGTTAGATGAAACAAAACAAAAACTTGGTGCGCAATGATCACCAAGAAATGTACTGTACAAAATAATGTAGTAATATTAGCATATAAAAGTGACAGAGATAGAAAGAAACGAAGAGATAAGCAGATGCAAAAATAGAAATAGGTTGTTGAAGAGATAGTCTCTGAGATATATTCATAGAAGCGTTATCTTTATCCTACTTTTGATAAAAGAAACAAGAAAGCTGTAGTGTTATCACCAAGAGTTTTCATCTTGAACCTCAATGATAGCTTCTAAAATCATTGAGTTCCATGATTTCTCAAGCCTCACGAAGGGAGTTATGAGGTATCGAAAGGTGTTATCACAATACAGCTATCCTTCATCTCACAATGTCACGTCACACAATGACCACCTTTTTTCTCCTTCCGATTACCATAAATTTAGCGGACGGTGTGGGAAACGCTGGGACGACATTCATAGACATGTTCAAGCCGCTGAACCCGGTGTTTTACGATGGCTCCAATCGATTATTGATAATCGCCATCACACCCACCATTGTACATCGGAATTACCTACACAGTATTTCCACCCGATACCAGTATTCTTACGGAGATAGCAGTGATGAGACACCGAATCGTCAGACACTCAGCTTGAAGGCTAGTCCTTGCAGATGTACAACAGAACTGTACAAACTGAAGCGTCGTACAATAGATCTTCGACAGTCACGTTAGCGTCACAATCACACCAAACGTGACCCACTTTGGTGTATGCAACTTTGATTTGGAACACAGAGTTGGAAATTTCAACATTGACACCTCAAGCAGCGAACACATCTACCCAGATAAACGAACTTTTGATTGACTTCCAACGGTCCACCATCAGGGGTGAGTGAAGTTATAGGCTCGTGTTAACTTTTCAAAAGCACTTTTCACTGTTTTCAGTATAAGACATATACATATGATTAAGTGAGACTTGAGTAGCATGGACAATGTCCATATCAAAAAGGATATCGTCCCTACACTCATGGTCGAAAAGTCTTTTACCTAGTATAAGGTCTACATCGCTATCACCATGTACCTTCACTAAAGCCTACTCAAGAGCATCATTAATGGTAAAGTTAGAGAGGAATGCTAAAATCAAACAACTTGCTCTAGCCCCATAGCTGTTTTAGAATAGTGAAGAGAGGTGGGTTTAAATCCTCACTCTACCTGAAGTACTTTTTGACAGGTTCTTCATTATGTTAACAAACTTCTTAGGAACACTTGAAATGTTGAAATGCACTCACCAAACTACTGCACACTCGTGCACTAGGCAGTGAGTTACGTTGATTGTAAGACGGCTAATGATACAACTGGGTGCCCGAATTTCGGTAGGTGTAGTATTCCAACCCGTCACCTACTGGCTGAAAGTCATCTCTAAACCACTGAGTCATAGCTCTAGAGTGAGACAAATTCAATGTTCTCATTCCTGGATGTGCTACTAAAAAGAAGACCAGGTAATGCTATTAGGAAATCAATGTTTAAAGAACCAACACGGAGTGGACAATTAATGAACCTTCAAAGCTATTTTCTCACTAAAAAAGAACCTTGTATGTTCGTTATGTTTAAGGATTCGAAAGATCTGTTCTGAAGACACATTAGATAGTGAGCTAAAATTTCCATATAATCTCCCACTATAAAAGTTATCTACCTAGATTTATTGAATTTAAAATACGAAAATTATTGAGCGTGTCACAATATACAATATACAATTATTCCACAAAGACGTTGAGGAAAGCATACCACTTTACGTTACGTCAATGTGCCTCTGTCAGTTAAGGCGTTTCTGTGAAGCAATCTACATTGGCCGTACACCGCGTCAAGTTCATAAACGTATTACGGAGCACTATCCAGGTTGGTTCAACAAAGAGAGTAAGAATACCAATGCTCTATTACTGAGCACTTTTTCATCTCCAAATATCTCGACCCTCCCAGTAATTCCTTCATAGTAACCAGAAAGTCTTCGACTAGCGTCATCGATACATAGCCGAATTATTGGCAATTCACCGCTTTAAACCTGATCTTAGTGCTCTAAGACATCACGCGCACTCATTAGCTTTGCCGTGGCCAGGATATTAATTTTTATGTTTAGAAATTTTTCACTTTTAAATATTGTAGTAATTACGTATTCCTATTGATTGACAATAGACTGTCACTTGTTTACGATGATTTTAAGTACGACGACGTGGTTCTAGTGAGTGACATCTAAACAAAATTTCCGTTGCCGTTGACTTAGCATGGACATCTCACTACAGCTATAGTGACGCAGCTGAAATGGTAGACAAGTATCTCAAACGGTAAGCAGCAACACAAAATGATCGTATATATGTAATTCAAACCCAATTTCAGACCATTCAGTTACTTTGTACCTCCTACAGATGAGACTTTCAATGTCCGAACCTTCACGTTGTCAGAGTAATGGTCAGAGACGATAACAAATACTTCATTTTCAAAAACAAAAAAGTGGATGAGGTAAAAGCACAAAGTGCTTTGCTACTTTCAAAATTGATCGAAAAGCAGAATCAATTTCGAGAAGTTCAAATGTATCGAAAATATGATATAAAAAAGCAGGTGGATTCTGTTTCCAAAATTTAATTACCTCCAAGTAGATCTACGACCTAATACTTTCTATCACTCCACTTACTCATAATCGAATGTATCCAAGCCAAACTTTTGTTGGGATGAAATCAGAAATTATCTTGATGGCTATGTTACCCACGCTATGGAAAAATCAATATATCTGAGGTATTTTTATTCACCACCCTAGTGAGAAACAAATTTTCTAGCGTTCGCTATTTTGTCTGTTTCTGTAACTACAATTGGAATAGGGAACACTAAAGAGTTGTCCTGATCCCAACCACTAGCTGCTACCTTGACGTGGTGATCGGGCTTGCATACCACAATGACACAACGAGCTACCCTAGTGAAACGCTTGTTCCCTCTAGGTTTTACCGTCAGAAAGGTATGTTGACGAAAGTATTTATGACGAAAAAACACCATCATTGTAGTGTAAACTATTACACTACGATGGGTGGGGTTGAGGGTAAAGTCGTACTGATGTTAGCAGGATGGAGTGTGACAGTTGTTTGCCTGGATGACCAGCAGTGCCACGCTGATGCTATCTTCTCAACGGAAGGGGGGACTAGAAAAGGTCGGCACCAAACATAACACACACTTCACTTGCCCCATGGTTTTCTGGTAGCAGACGTAAGGTTTCTCTCCAGTCAGCGTTAGAACAACCAAGTCCACAAAATCTTCGTGTAAGACCCAGAGGGGGCTAATACTGTATCCAGGATCCTAAGACCCATAGTTATCCGGCGCCTAACTGGAGCTCAAGAACAGCAAAATCGAGAAAATCAGACAGGTTTCAGACAGACATTAACCCTCTGATAAGTATCTGGAACACAGACATACTTACCAGCTAACGACCGGCACTTGCCATATTCCTTGACCTGAAGGTTACATTTGACTCTGTCGACCGTGAGGTGTTGTAGTAATGTCTGGTTTGACTGTGAAGGGAATACGGAGAGAGTATGTAACGCTAATCGAAGCTCTCTACTTGAACTCACACAGCCATGTAGTGGCTTATGGAGAGTTGTCATATGAATTGACGACAACTAGTGGTGTTCATTGAAGTAGCATCTCGAACGAAACTTTGGATTAAGGTAGGAGTGGTACTTTAACAGCTGCCCATTGAATATTTTTGGCCCTGTTTCTTATCGTGAGAACGATATCTTTCTAAAGCAAAATTGTAAAGTACAGAATTACCCGGCGACATTTTTTGCATTTTTTTCAGAAGTGTCTATGTAGTTGGACACAGAATAAGTTACGAACGAGAGTGACTATTCTGACGACGATCACCAACTAACTCACTCAGCACACTTCAAACTGAGCTCAAGTTCTTTTGTCTTATGCCAAATGCTGTATCTATTTCAAACCATCTTATATAACACATAAACTTGATTTGTATATTTGTGAGTTCTCGAGGGGTTACTCTGATAATTTAGAGTTCCAAATAACGGTTCACACTCGAGTGTCTACAAATAGAGTTATTAGGTATCACTTATGAAACCCAATTGTGTTCACAAACTGAAAAATAACGATCTATCAGGATGATTACAACCACCAGAATGTAAATGAAGAGTAACACAACTAACTTATATGAAACCAAATAGAATAAATTATACAGATGAAAGTAATTTACTTACGTCGATCGCAAAAAAGATATGTAGTCTGCCCATATGGAATAGGAATTTAGGTCCAAACCCATTTTGTCTAGAGTGAAATCATAAGCCTGAGCCATTTTTCCCTATTAAATGAAGAAAAAAAGCTATAAAAGCACCTACCTGAATGACTGTTGTTTTCCTTTTGTTTCCTTTATATACTGCAAGTAAATTTTCCAAAGGTCAATACTCAAAATTTTAACTAGACAACGCTGAAACAACTTTTCCACCTTTTCATAGTTTTTTGCTTTCATCTGAAAACATTACACCACAGTTATTAGTCCTACCTCTTGATTTATGTATATTTTCCAGTACTGCCCTGACAAAGGAAACTGGGCGACTATCCGTTCGAAAACTTCTCTTGCATCCTCAATCTTCTTGCCTTGTGCATCACGCAACAGAACACTCCATGCCTCTATGTCCCATGGATTACATTTAATTCTTTCTTCAGCCTTCTGCATTTTATCCATTTTGTACACTCTTCTTTGCACAAGCGGCATGTCGCTGGCTTTTGCTTAACAACTTCAATGTGAAAAAATGTTTTCGTCTGCCGCCCTTTCAGGGTCCAATATCCAACACCAACAGGGTGAGTGGAGGGAACTTGTGGTTTTTATCTCTCACCTCTAGGTCTTAAAGATTGGTCATACTCCTCCGTTTGTCTCAGAAGTCTTTAGCGTTTATCTGCTAACAGCTTTGGAGGTAGTGATTGTCTTTGTGAAGGCTTTCGTTAGTAAATAAAAGGTTGGTTCGTTTGGAAAAGCAAGGAAGCAGCTGATGAGACTAACTAACATTTTGCCATTCCTCCCTTTCTAAGCACCTGCAAGTAAGTGTTGGGCGTTACTTGAAACGTGGTGCGAGAAATAGGACGAGTGGGGAATCAGAAAAAGTGGAGTTAAAAGTACTTTAGAAAAAAACTAAGTTTTCCTAAAAACAATATAGAGAAGTTATGGGTTTATTGCAGATACTATGTTTGGGGAGTGAAGACATGGGTGAATGCACTTTCAGTTGCTGTCGGCCAATATTCGGGGTAAGCTCTTGGTGCTAACCCTAAGAACTAGACGCGAGAGATCAAAAACTACCAGTTTTCTACGCTGGCACTATCAATATTGGATATTGGATATTAACCCACTAAACCAGCAGCCATTTAAAGGAATCAACTGATGTATTTGTGGGTACTTCTTTCGGCGGAACGTTCCATGAGGCAAATACCCTGTATGAGAGGAGGTTAGATCTTACCTTCTTGTGTCCTATGTAGTTGGTTATGCGAGAAGGGTTCCCCAGAGACTTTCGGTTTTGGACCAACAATTTTCTCCTGTTGAGGTGTCCACTTGATGAACTATCTTACAGGTTGTTACTGGGTCTCCTTTTTTCCTTTTGTTGCTTAGGACGAATCGGTGAGTTGCCTAGGGCGCTGGGCATGTGTTTTGCCTGGCACTTAGACAGCTGCCTCTGTTGCTCTTCTCTGCACCTTCTCGAAAGTGCTCACGTCCCTTTTCAATAGACGAGCTGTTTTGTTCAACACTTCTAAGTATGGTCTGACATAGGACCTCAACAGCATGAGGAGTGGTTTAAACGCAAGGGCTCCAAACTTCCTTCTTATACAGTGCATGACGGTACCCACCTTGACCACTATTCCCTTATAGTTGGCACTGGTATCCAGTGTGTCAAAGAAATTTAGTCCCATATTCTCTGCGGTGCTTGCGCACGCGTTGGGGCTTTGGCTGACATTCGTCGTTTCCGGTGTACAAAGATAAATCAGGTCGCCTTTCTCTGGGCTAAAGCTCAAGCCATTTGCAGTCAACTAGGAATCCAGCTGCAGAAGGTCGCGTCGGAGTATCCTAAGATCCTCTTTCTTACCTGTTGTTTTCTATATTTTGATGCCACTGGGATATAGGATTGATGAGATTTTAAAAGGGAGGTCATCCATGAGCCCCAAATGTAGGAACGATTCAAGGACGGCTTCTCGCGAAATTCCTGCTCTTGCACTTCCCAGTCTGACTGAATTTTGTTTGCTTTTGAAGCTAGTTCTCCGTCCTCTAGATATGCTGCAAACCATGCTGTGAGTGGTTCGGTGATACTCCGTTTCCCAAGTTTAGCGAGCAAAGTGTAGTGTGGGACGCCATCGAAAGCTTTGGCCAAGCCGAGAGAGCTCCAGGCAATATCGGTGACATGTATCCATTGTTTGCCTGTCGACAGTCACTGCCATTCTTGTGACCATGGAGCGTTGAGCTCATTATTCATAAGTTGGTAGCCTGCCTTGAGGTAAAAACGAGACGCTTCTGGCTCACCAATCGGGAGCTTCTCCCTCGTTGTCAGGGAAAGTTCCTTCAGTGCGTGATTGCCTTTGCCTTAGGGGGACTGGGTGCGGAAATCGTCTATCAATAGCTTCCTGCCTGTTAGAACTTGGTCAACTCATGATCGCTTTCCATCATCTCCCCATCAGGTGTTTTCCCCACCTTCTCTATTGGTTCTGAAGCTACAACTGTATTTCGAGGTCTCTGTCCAAGATTCATGTCTGTAGCTTACTTCTAATCCAGGATTAAATGCCGGCCTGTTCAATTCCCCGGTGAAGACTGCGTGTTTGTAGACCATGAACGTTGATATCGAAACCGCTGTCAGTATTTGTCCGTAATACTCTTTTGTGCACACTAACAGGCTGTTCACCAGTCCTAGTAGGTGCCTTGTTTGGTTTATGGTGAAATGGAGGCACAAGAAGTTTCGTAATTGCTTGAATATATTATAGGTTACCCGACTGGTTTTTAGGCGCGCGCTAATATGTTTGGCCGATCCTCCTTCTTTGAACTGCCTGTCCTTTCGGAACAAGGTCGTGTCAGGCACTGATATTTCATCGGCCAGGACGTTTTATGACAGCCACATCTCCACACGTACCCGAAAGCACAGTAGTTTACTTCTCAGACCTGTCGCTTCGCTGTAGGAGCACTTCAGAGGGCTGTGCTCTGGGCTTTGTATGGTACGGTGAATTGTGTAGAGGTTATTGTGCTGTTTAGTCGGATGCCGACTGCGAGTTCCTACTGAACTGGCAAGCCTCCACTTTTGGACTATTCCTGAGGTCCTGGTGTTGGTGTGATGAAAGTAGTTCTTGTTATGTCTATAAGCATTCTTTAACTAGATTGTTGTTCCATGACTAGAGCTCAGTCGCTTAACATCCAATATTTTCCAACACGTTTTTAAAACGATGGAGGACTGCGTCTTGTCTCTTCATGTTATTGGAAAATGTCACGAGTTAAAATGGACTCAGTTCCCGTCAGGGTAAAAAACATCCAGGGAGACAAAGACAAGGAGGAGCCCAGGTCCTAATAAATCAGGAATTGACGGCAGTCACCTGACAGTAATCAAAAGGCGCGCTGATGTTCTAGATGTCCCAGTGGTAAACCTCTTCAAATATTCGCGCCTAGAGGGAAGATGCCCCTCTGGTTGGAAACAAGTGGCCGTCGTTCCGGTACATATAGGTTGAAACTGCACGCTTGTCCCTAACTATAGACCAATCTCCTTAATACCCCTGGATACAAAAGTTATGAACAGAGTACTAGCTAACCCATCTGCGGATTATTTGCTTGGGACTTTAATCCAACCTGTCGATCTGCGCGGTTATTTACCTGGAAGATCATGTGACACAAACGCCCTGGTAGCACGGAATAACTGAGATCAGTCTGCTGAGCGGAAAAGTTAACTCATTTGGGGTTGTTTGACTTATCTGAAGCCCTTATTAGAGCTAATCGTTCTATTATGTGCAAGCTTATTGGGTACAAGGAAAGTTGCTCACTTGGTTCGCATATTACACTCACACTGGATTGCGAACGGCCAGAGTCGGTTGCTTGTTATGTAACTGATTTCCTATGCCAGAAGGAGTCCCCCAGTGTTCCTCTCTTGGTCCATTACAGTTTCCTGCCTTTACAAACGACTTGGCAACAACTCCTAATTCTTAATCATCAGTTTATGCTGGCGGTCGAAAGATGTGCATGGAGATCAAAAGAACCAACGTATATCTCGGCCCTCCAGGTGAAAGCCTCTGAAACTGCGAATGGCCTAGGTCGAAACCTTGTCTTTCAGCACAAAGGAGTGTGGGATAATAACTGTAGTCGGATATAGTGGTAAGTCAACTTCCTCATTCAAACACTTAGAAGGATCCAGGGGCTACTGTGGGCGAACTCTTGGAGCTTCTGCTTACTGTCGCCACTTAGATAACATGACTCATCGAATCCAGAATTCTTCTTCTCAAAGCCCAGGGAATCTGGCTCTGGTCAGTTGCGCTGTAGTGATTGGACCACGTGTTAGTCGTCACCTTGAGAAAAACTTGCTAGACATATCTCCGTGCTTGCAGAAGGACAGGGCTATCTAAGGGTAAGGGGGGTAGATTGTTCGACCACTGTACAAACCCCATCTGGATCGCAAAGTAGCTTCCAAGCCACATTTAATATACCACATGATAATCAGGGTGTGTTCCTGTTCCGAATTTCGTCTGCTGCTCGCTTTTGTTATTCATTTTTCATGTTTACCCAACCGGTCCTTCATCCATATGGAATCCTGGTAGTTTAACTTGTCAGCGTGCACTATACCGTCTAGAACTTATGACGAACGCATAAAACCCAAGGTCACAGCTGTACTACCCGCCCCATTTTCAAGGATATTGGAGGATTCAAACAATAGCCGAATATTTCCTACTTTCGAACCGAGCTTGCCTCAGTATGATAATAATAATGATAATATTTATTCCTGAATTTACAGGCACACACCACTTTTACAGGCATGAATAAATTTATACATAAATTACATGTACTTTCAAGGAAGGTAATCTCAATCCCCACCCGTTGTCACCAGAAGATATAAGTGCTGCATGTTCACATGGTGGAACATCCCAGCAGAATAAGTGTGCAGAAAATTTACAAGTTGGGCAAGTTGAAGTATTGTCTTCGCATTAACAAAAAAGACCAGGTTTGTATCTAGACACTACAGGTATTACCTGGAGAAAAATAAAGCTTGAAGCTAATACTTCCATTGTAACAGTTTGTACTTCTTGCTTGAGATAATGATAAAAAGTTTATGAATTGTTTACATATTGTACTTCATTGACGATTCCAGGACTGTATAATTCATCCATGTTAACACCATTCCACAACGAAGATTCATAATCTTGATGAATATTATAACTGAAATCCAAATGTCTTCACTTTTCCAGCTCCAGAATCCAGAGGCAACAGACTTGTTTGAATGCACCAAATGGGTTTCCAGAACATCTTGTCCTTCGTTTTCATGGGCCGTGACAGCCTTGCAGTTGGTAAGTGTTGGACTTTGCTGGTCGCTTTTATTATGATGAACAATTATTCTGGTGTTTATCTGTTTCATTCTTTGTGGTCGTCAAAGCATTGACGTTCCTACTCTAGATGTGTCTTTTATGTACCGGAAAGGACGGTGTCCATTGTATAGCTTCATACTGCATACAACAGACAGTTCACATTACCAAAATGATCAGACCTGTAGG